TATTGCAAAGTCTGTTTAACAGTTGGCGCCCCGCTTTCTTAAACTTTCTCCGCCGTTTTCCTCTTCTAATCGGCCAACACCTCCTCGCTCCTTGTAGTGTCTATTGAATTTGAGGTGTTTTTCTGATGTTCGTACTTTGAACTCTGACTGCCCATAGTCATAAAGCTAAAAAGTACAATAAATTCACAGATGTAGAATATTTCCTTTTTCTGGGCAACAATTTTTAGATGCTGAAAATAAATACACTTCAAAAGTTGGATCTTTTCATTTTGTTAAGTTAATTCTGATTCCAAACATTGATTTATAGGTCGTCAACAGGGGAAGAGAGTACAAATAAATTAAAAAGAACAAAAAAAAAGCTAAAAAAGAGAAAGCACTAAAAGATTTTTTTGTTTTAGTCTTTTGTAGTACAGTGATCGATCAGGATAGATTAAGCAAATTTTTTTTTTCTTAAACAGCGGAAACTCGTAGGAGTATAGAGAAAAATTAAAAAGGAAATTACACTGCTTTTTTCTTTTTTCCTTCTCTTACGAGTAAAATTTTATAACAGAATGCCATTCAGTTAAGTTTGATTTCTATGATTTGTAAAACTGCTGCCAATGATTGCTTATAAAATCACTGCAACAACAACAAAAAAAAAAGAATGTAGTATATAAATAAAGAAAAAAACAGAAATTTTTTTTTATTTCAACTAATTTTTGGTTCAAGGAGTTTTGCAGGAGAAGTAATTGAGTGCTGATAAAAAAGAAAAAGAAATCAAAAAGAAAAAAAAAGGAAAAATAGACAAAAAAGTCTAAAAGAAAAGTTTTTTTTATTTATAAATAAAAGAGAAGTTTTTTCTTTTCCTTGCATATTTTTTTTTCTAGCTAAATGTAAGTTTTCAATTGATTTTGCTATTTCATATTTTGTCATTGAAAGTACAATTGGGTGAACACTTAAATACGGGCATCACCAGTTACCATCAGCCATCAGTAAGCGGGTAACAACATCAGAAGCAGCAGCAATAACAGCAGCAATGGCTGCAACATCAGTAAAAGTAGTAGGCAAAAAAAAAAAAAAAAAAAAAAA